TATTTATAACATCCAAAACCTTTTTTTGTTTTGCTCATATTGCATTTGCAATTAGTGATATTAATGTAATTAACTCCATGTTTTGTTTGTAATATTCGTTACTGATAATGCTATTACATTTTAATAACCACAAATGATGCCGATAATTAATAAACATTTTATAATATCTTGCAGTTTCTTCTGAATTGCTAATAAATATCTCGAAATTCAACTGACAGTATGTAATCAAATTCAGTATGTAATCAAATTAATCTTGCGTTTCAGCAACAACTCACTATATATTACTATGCATGTGCTCAACACTTGCCGCTCGACGCTCGACGCTCCTATGTAAAAACACCTTTATATCATACCAGAAAACGCGTCATGCACACCTTTGATATAATCCTCGCAGGGTTCATTCACAGTGGATCAATTGAGTTTATAAAAAGGAAAAAATTATAATTGGTAATTATATAACAAACGTCTGTGGAATCCGTACTGTCCTTCTTTCATTTCAATATGTCTGGCGTCTTTTTATATCTTGCAGACGTTCTGAATTTCAAATAATTTAAATGGACACAGTTGGTCTGTTCTTTTCAGCTGCATTGCTCAACTAGTGCAACAAGTTAGAGTGAGAAAACATATACTTGTCTCACTTTAACTTATTGCACCAGTTCAACAGTGCAGCTGAAAAGAACAGATTGTGCACAACTTCGTTATTTCACAGTAGCGCTATCTATAGCGACAACGTTTTACCTCCATTTGAATTGTAGTCAAAACAATTCACGATATTATCGACTATGGAAATTTATCGTCAAAGAATAATGATTATCTATCATTGATAAATTTTCGGTCAAAATAGTAATAGATATTTAGAAGTAGAATTAGTAATAGAATCGAATATTTAATTTTATAAATTATTCAAATATATATAAAAACTCTACTCTTTCTAAATATATCGAGGTTAAATAAAATTAAATCGCGCGCGCAGAAAGTCCTAATACATCCAGAACAAAATAACAATATTATAAAGAACAATAAAAGCCAAAAATTTAAATTATAAGCGTATAACATCTGCCTTTTTGGCTTTTATTGTCTTTAATAATATTAATTCCATTTAATATTTAGAGCTACAAGTTTTTGTTTTTACTTTGAGAACAAAATATTTGAAAATTTATTTGTGGAATGTAAAGCTTACTTTTATGAAAGAAAGTTTATTTCTGTGAATAAACTTTATATCCCACGAATACAAATGTACTAGTCTACATTCAACTCCAAATTTTTTTGACGAGCACAGAGTACGTTTATATTAATATTATCGGGATAACTGACCGATGACGTTAAATCGCCGTATCAAAGTGGCTCAACAGAATTACAACAGAGACGAACTAGTGGAAAATCATGCAGAATACCGCGATCAAAACTCGTTCGCCAGAATCCGCTTCTCTACTTCGTGATTGTCATACGTTATCAAGTGTAGTGTCTCGCAAAGTATATCTAGCCATACGTTAATCGCGTCGCTTGGAGTGCTCAGTGCAATTGCTGCTTGCCGTGTCTTTTTATTTAACGTCGACGAGGTATTTCACGTAATTTTTTATCGTGTTCGAATTACTCAAAATTGGCACTCAGCTGCCGCTTTCATTTATTGCACATCTTTGGAAAGAAGAAAAAATTTGCACCAATTTAAACATCTTTGTTTCATGTATATCTGTGTATACATTTGTGTGTTTTATTAAAACGCGCTAAAAATCTCCGCTAAAAAAGAATTCAATATAAAAACTAAATTGTTCTTTAATAAATTAAATTCTAATGAATTATAATCAGATCATAATACAATGATTGGTTTGACTGATTAATTTAATTCCTTTTGCTCTCATCGTTGAAGTGAATGATGTAGATGTGATAATTAATTTCGTTATTTTTTTGTTGAATCATAACTGTCAGGAATCTCTCATAACAATATGATAATTAATGCGTGTGTCATGTGATCAATCAACAATAGTCTGCAGGGGAGCATTGTGATGTAACTTGTGGCATGTGACACACTTGATGAAAATTGTCCTTGATTGAATCATCTAATAAATCTGACGAGTATTTTGCGATATCGTAACATTAACGTACTATAAAATTTAAAACTTTAAATGCTCCACAAATTATAACAAATTGTTCTATATGTTTTAGACTTGATAGAATAATTCTTCATCCATCAATTTTCATACATTTTTCTTTTTAATGTTTCAGATGGTGAGTTTGGACAAAATAATGAGCACATGGAAACGTGCAGATGCTGTAACGTTTGATGTAGATTCTACTGTCACGACAGAAGGAGGTATTGATGAGCTTGCAAAATTTTGTGGGAAAGGAGAGCAAATTGCTGAATTGTATGTCCTTTACTTGATCTTTACTACAATTCAACATAGTTTATCATACAGTAGCACATGAAGATTCAAAATCACTATTATAATATAGTATATTAAAATGTATGTTTCAGGACTAAACGAGTCATGCAAAGTGACATGACATTCCAACAGTCTTTATCAGATTGCAGATAATTTATTTAGATTGCAGATAATAAATCCAAATTTAGCACAAATAAAAGAGTTTTTGAATACTCATCAATCAAAACTGATGGTATTAAGTAAGAAATTCATATTTTTTAACGTAGGATTAAACACTCCTACGTTATTAAAATATTATATTGTACACAATTGCGAATGTGTTCAAAGAATTAATGTCAGCCTTACGAGCTTTGGGAAGCAAGTGTTTCTTGTCTCTGGTGATTTCCACTCCCTCATCATGCCAGTTGCTGCACAACTTAACATTTCACCTGAAAATATTTATGTTAACAAATTGAAATTTTACTTCATAGGTAAATATTCTCTAATGAATTTATAGCTATTTTTTGGGACATACATATGTATAACTGTGTACAGGAGAATATGCTGGATTTGACGAGAGTCAGCTAACTTCTAAGAGTGGTGGCAAAGCAGAAATAATACGACGTCTTAAAGAACAGGAAGGATTCAAGATTGTTATCCATATCGGTGATGGCGCGACAGATTTAGAAGCATCGCCGCCAGCAGACGCATTTATAGGTTTGTAAAATAATTGCTTAAAATTCTATAAAAATTCTATAAAACAAAGCTGCTTATAAATGTCAGTTAACATTATTTGTTAGTATCATGATATAAATTGCACTGTGAGTGTTTACTGCAAGGCATACTTATTTTCGTTACAGGATTCAGCGGGAATGTAGTTAGAGAAAATGTAAAATTGTGCTCACAATGGTATGTAACGAATTTTAATGATCTCACGAAATGTTTATAATTGTAGATATAGTATATAACATAAAATAATTTAGTGCGCATAAATATGTATGTATTTATGTCTGTCAGCGCGCGCGCGCGTGTGTGTGTGTGTGTGTGTGTGTGTGTGTAGAGAGAGAAAGAGAGAGAGAGAGATATGCTAAATACCCGATAAAAAATGTTTCATGCATAATTATATATAAAATTTATCCTTATATAATTATGTATAATTATGTATAATTATATATAAAATAATATAAAATAATATAAAATAATATAAAATTACATATAATTATACACAATTATGTATAACTATATGTATAATTATATATATTTGTATGCGTAATTATGTAAAATTATATATGAAATTGTGTATAAAGTTATACATGATTATATATAAGTAACATGTATTAATATGTATGGGCAAATTTCATACATAATTGTATATAATAATGTAAAATTATATATAATTTTATATAATTATGTATGAAAAATTTTTTATTGGGTAATGTATACTGTAAAATGTTAATGTTTTATAAAAATAATTGCTGATGTTGCATTTTCAAATACTTCCGTCAAATTGGATTCATAAATAACATGTTTTATTCTACACGCAGATACACACAAATACAATGAACAATTATGTGTTTAGTGTGTAATTACGTGTAGTATAATTTCTAAGATCATATACAATCTACATATACATTAGATTAATTAATAATTGTTATTACTGCCATAAGTATATTCGTTTATAATTCTGTACAGATACACACACACACACACACACACACACACACACACACACACACACACACACACACACACATATATATATATATATATATATATATATACAGGGTGTTCCCAAAAGATGGTACCAAATTTTAAGGATATGTAGTACTCGTTAAAACAAACCAAAAACTCTTAATAAACAGTACTCCGAAAAACTTTTATTTCTGAGTTATGAAGCATTTTGTTCTATGTAAAATAGAAAATAAATTAAATCTACAATAAATGTTCATTCGCGGACGCCCGTATGTGACCACCTAATTACACAGGGATTGTTGTATTCAATTTTGGATTGTGGACCGTGTCTAGTTTTGTGTTATCTGAAAAATGGCTAATTTTTACACAAATTCTGAAATGACGGATATTCATTTTATGTATGGCAGAGCAAAGGGCAATGCTTCAAAAGCAGCACGCTTGTATCATGCCGAATCGCCGACAGCCAAGTAGAAGAATGTTTAGCAAAATTAACGCCATTAACCAATTGTTTTCAAGAAAGGTGAATAGAACGTGGCGGTCCAGTTGTATAGCCACCTCGCTCACCGGATTTAAATCCGTTGGATTATTATCTATGGGGACACTTAAAGAGCATGCCGAAAGATGAATATTTTACGAGATATTTTGTATTCTATGTCAAAATGCTGGAAATTTCAGGGGTTATTACTCGAAAAGTTCTTAACGAAAAAATATTTTATTATAGTAGAAAGCTATAGTTTTGGAAAGCTCTCGAGCTATAAGCTAAGCTATAAGAATATGTAATAATATATAGGATGTTCCATTTAAAAATTGAAGATGACTTTCATATGACCTTCAAATGACTATTCAAGGTCAAACCAATTATACCTTTTTATAGATCCCTTCGAACCAAACAACTTTTATCTGAAACAGTTTTCTTTAAAATGGTTTGTTTTCGAGATATTCAACCGTTTCCAGACTTTTCTAATATCATGTATGTGTGTATATATATATATATATATATATATATATATATATATATATACAGACAGGACACTGCAAAAGAAATTCTCTCCTCGCATTATACATTAGGGCAGTCGGTCGAATTCTCGTCGGACGAATTCTTCGCGCGACAGTTCGAATTCTGTATGTAGGGGTTGATCTTCTCCTGAAGTGACATCCCCTTTGTGATGGTGTGCGAGGATGTGCTGTAGCAATCACTACGCGTTGAGTTTCTGGAGAATATGTCTTTTCGACAACCAAATCTTTTTAGTAGTAGATTCCTGATATTGTCCTTCCACACGAATATGATGAAGATGAAGAGACCCTGCAGACTATTTATCAGGTCGGTGACGTACCAAACGACTGGCGGCTTGCTGTCGAACAACCACGATAATATCTCCATGGACCAGTTTATGCCCATCACGATGAACAACTTCAAGTACAGGAGAAACCTGTAATATATTTTTCATGTTATATTTCTTGCGATTACGGCGCAAGCGAATAGTTTTATCGACTACGTTAACGAAGACAGCCTAAACCCAAGTAATGATATCCGTGCAAGTGCTGTAGTCTATGTTTGCACATAGTTAGCACGAAAAATTAATAATTAAATGTACAAAGAATCTTTGAGAGTTTCAAAATTATAACATCAGGCACGTAAAATGGTCGAATTTCAGGCACGGTTGAATGATGATTTTGTAGATTACAGTGACTATTTCAGTATTTAATTTAAATTGTTTTAAAACTGTTATATTGCTCTGCTATTTATTAGTTATAACGATATAACACGGCAACATAAATATAAAACGTTTTTGCATTATATCTATGTTATGTAATATTTTTATATCTAGATATTGGATCATTCGTTTTAAATTTAAAAATATATGGCTTAAGATGGCTTTTAAATGGTTTAAGATAATTTAAGATGGTTAAACGACTTTTAAATGGTTTAAGATGATCTAAGATGGTTAGATGGCTTTATTCTCGTGCCTTTTTCTACGTAAAATATGATGCATTAATATATAAAAAAAAAAGATGATCACAAAACGGCAAAACTCGTACCATGGAGTCGATTTTTAATATTGTGTAAACGTAGTTATTATCTTAATTAAAAAGACATTTCGCGAATAGTGCAAAGTGGAATCATTAAAACGGGCCACTATCTCTGAAATCATCTAAATGCATTAAAATCGCTGAGTTTGATAATCTTGTTATTCACGTGAATATTCGAGATATTATCCATGAGGATAAATATTTTTGGACGATCGCGGTTATCTTTAAATAGACGAGTAAATATTAAAAAGTAACGACGCAAATTTCGAGTAGAGCTTAAAAGTTTTTCTTAAGAGATTTTCTAAGAAGTGTGGCTTTCATCTGGCCCTTTACACCAAGAGCATTCACTTCGATTTTATATTCACACGGTCGTTCATCATTCTTTCCGGCATCGTAGACGTTCTCGCATCGTCGGAGAAATCTCGCGCCCGCGGTCAAAACGGCGGCGATATGTTTATTTCTTCAGAAGATTTCGTAATTATGAAAGCAAACCACGGCATGGGAAAGTCTCTGTCTAAAAATAATCACTATGTTAGGTACGAGGACCGATCGACATTATGTGAGGTCACTCGCAGGAGGCGTTATATCGATTTTATTAATTCTATCAGTTATGTGGATTAATGCATGTATCCCCAATGAAAAATTTTTCATATATAATTATATAAAATTATATTTAATTTTACGTTAATACATACAATTATGTATAAAATTTGCCCCTACATGTTAATATATGTTACTTATATGTAATCATGTATAACTTTATACACAATTTCATATATAATTTTACATAATTACGCATACAAATATATGTAATTATACATATAATTATACATAATTGTGTATAATTATATATAATTTTACATAATTACGCATACAAATATATGTAATTATACATATAATTATACATAATTGTGTATAATTATATATAATTTTATATTATTATATTTATTATTTACATATAGTTATATATAATTTTATATTATTATATATAATTATACATAATTATGTAAGGACGAATTTTATATATAATTATGCATGAAAAATTTTTCATCGGGTCAAGACGATAATGACGACAATGTTCTTTTCAAATACGAACCATTGCTTGTTGTCAGTGTGACGTTTGCTTTCCAAGCTTTTCAGCTGTTGAGCCGTGGTTTCCTTCTGGTACCGTACAATCTTCAACGCCGTGGAAATGAACAGGAAGATGTTGCAGATAACAGTGATACTCATGGGTAAGTAAAAATATAAGCTTCTTGCCTCATTCGCTGAAAGTAGAAAATAAATCATTAGTATTCACGTTTTATAAGTTACACGTGATATGTATATTCTTCATTTTAATTAATAATAATAGTAACTAGTTCAGATAGTCAGAGATGCTGAACATAGCATGCAAAAATTTAACACGGACCTTGTGATGCAAATATGTTACAACACATGTATTTAAAATATATTGTTTTAAGAAATACTATTTCACTATACAGGGTGTAATTGATCGATCAATCGCCGTGTACGGGTAGAACGGGTCAAAATAATCATAAAAATTATATATCATTTTGAAATTTTCTTAATATTTATTCCGTAATTAATTAAACTGTATAAACGAATAAGCGTACGAGAAGCAGTAGGACAGGCTCTGTATGTATAGTAAAAGAAATGACTTACCTCTTAACAATGATGAATAAATAGCTGATTTCGAGGCGGAGTAACAAGCGTCACGTATACGTTATTCCGCTTCGAAATCAGTTATTTATTCATCGTTGTTAAGAGGTAAGTCATTTTTTTTACATACAGATCCTGTCCTACCGCTTCTCGTATGCTCATTCGTTTAAACAGTTTAATTAATTACGGAATAAATATTGAGAAAATTTCAAAATGGTATATAACTTTTATGATTATTTTGACCCGTTCTACCAGTACACGGCGGTTGCTCGATCAGTTACCGGACACCCTGTATATGCTATATATTTTGAAATTTAAAACCTTTAACTTCCAATTACTATAATAATTTCGGATTAATTGCGTTTTTTTGCTGGCAAATAAACAGCAATTTTCATATGACATCAGTTGTTTTTCTTATATACTTTATATACTAACAAAATTCTTGTTATATATATCTTTGTGCTACAATTTTCAATACTCAATCCAGTCATCATGTGTCAAAATGTTTATCTGAGGTATAACATCAACTTTATTAGTATTTTATAACAACTTTATATATATATAAAAAATATTAATATTGTAATATATGATGTATTATACGGTTTCGTAGTAATTTTTTATTTAGGTAAAACGTATTTTGTATTTGTATTTTTGTATCGTTATAATTTTCCGAAGCATGCGCACGCAACATATACACCTTATAATATTTTGCTATCCTTTATACGCATATTATCTTATAATAACGACATAAAAATATAATCGTTACATTTTATCTAAGGCCGATCGACATTATGCGACGTCATTCGCAGGAAGCGACATATCAATATAACTAATTCCATCAGTTATATAAATTAATTCGAAAAAGAAATCCGAAAGGACTTTATTACAGAACCCGATATAATAGTAACTTCATTGTGTGACTTGAATATAATACAGTTAAAATAAGCAAAGGGCGAGACGAAAGCATACGCTTCTACGAGGCCTAAACACACGTATTACAATCAGAGTCCTAGCAGATTTAACGAAAGTTAGGCAAGACGGCCGCTAACGTTAAAGGAAGACGTTTATTTATGTCGTACTTACTCGAGAACCAACATCTAATTGTGCCAAACCCCGGTTTGATTAAAGTTTCCGGTATATCGGGGACGAAATCCATGATGAGACAGAGGATAGTAAGGGAGGAGGCGCAACCCCACGCGTAAATCGAATACATGATGAACTTCTTTTTCTCTCCTTGCTTCACATTTCCTGACGAGCGGAATCCGCTGCAAAATTATTTATAGCTTATTAGCATAATAATGAGAAAAACAGGCGCATGCATTACAAGCACACGTTAAAACAGTTATCACTTTTAGTCAAGTTTCCCGGAAACCCGACCACTTTAAATGCTTAATCTTTTTTCTTGATTCGTGCTAATTAAAAGATAATGAGTCATATGTGATATAGATAATTAATTAATTAATTAATTAATTATTTAATTAAATAATAAATGAGAATGTAAGCTAAAATACCTAATTATTGACATGGTCACTTTAACACTTAGACATTCTTAATCAATTTAACACTTCAGAAAAAACCTGTTTTTTATGATCAACATTGCAGTTAAACTTCTTGTCTGCACTTTATGATTCCAAAGGGGAATTTTATAATAAGATTGATAAAAAATCACCGCTGGTTGCAAGAAAAATTAAGTTTCTCCAGATATACACTGAGAAAAAAAGTTATTAAATTTCAAAAAACGTTTGTTTGGATAGTACTGTGAAGATATTTGTTTAAATTAAGTAATTATTTTCTAAAATAAAAAAAAACAAATTTAAATTTAAAACTTCTTTATTTAATTTTAGAAAATAATTACATAATTTAAATAAATATCTTTACAGTATTATCCAAACAAACGTTCTTTGAAATTTAGTAAATTTTTTTCTCAGCGTAGCAATATATATATATATATATATATATATATATATATATATATAT